ATAAAATTTAGAAAAACACGAGATCAACATTTGAAAAACTAAACATTTTCGTTCCCTAGGTATAGAAAATTCATTTGCACCGCCATCGGTAAACGAACTCCAAATTAGATTTTTCTGCATTGCTAACAAAAGAGATTTACCAGATACTCTCTGCAGAAGATTTACTCGTCTGCAGAGAATATTTAATATTTATTAAGAAATAAAGATACAGAAACTAGGAAATAAACTATGCTAACTCAAACCACCATAACACCATACCAGATTATAACGCAAAGAACTCCGAAACTGAAATGAATGATAGAATATAAGGAATTAATCAAAGGTTCACGTTAGCCCGCATTGGTTCCCAGCGTTATTCTCGCTCACAGCCTCTTGAATCGCTCTCAAATATTGTGCGTTCAGCTGATTTGCGGAGTAAATTGGAGAGTATGTACTCTAGAGTAAAATAATCCTCTAGAAGCATGGTGAAACGCTCATATTCTACTCGAGAGTTACTATATTGGAGTAAATGGTTACTCTCGGGTAACTACTCTCAACTTTACTCGGCTCTTGGTGAAACCGGCCCTTAGTTTTATATATACTTTACACAATAATCTGCATCTAAATCAGTATCATAACATGATATAAAATTACCAAGAAATAGTTTCTAAACCTGTTTTACACGGTCATTTTTGCATGCTTTTTTAATCATTTTTCTGTACAGTAAATGGATGGAAAAAGGACGTTCGTTTCTACGCAGTATGTTTCTGTGCCGAAACTGGATGAGAGTGATTCCAGCGTTTTACACGGTCATTTCTGGCTTTGTACGTAATCGTGAAGAAAATACTTCCTCCGGACGCCGCATATAGTGCGGACGTTTAAACATTTGAACATCGCATCTGTGGTAACAAATTAGGTTATATTAGGACTGAGCACGGATGCGACAATATTAGAATACATAAATTAGTACATAATTTATTTCTCACTACATAACCTCTTCACATTACAATTCTACATATCAGAACGCTCTCTGGCAACTGCAAAATGAACATATCGCTCCACCATAGAGTAGAGATATACTAGAGTGCGCACCAGGGAATAGATATGACTTGGTCCTATCTATCTGCCTATCTATATGCCGCATCATATCTGGATATCTGTAGGTATCTGTAGGGTATGCATCTCTCCTGGGCACCAACCGGAATCAAGATGATCCCGAGTTGATCCGGGTCAACTTCAGTATGATCCCGTTGTACGTTTCTCCACGCACTTAACACATGTATCTCTCCTCTATGACTTAACACGAATCAACGTGTCTGACTCAGATCAAATTTGACTCGCAATTGATCCAAAGCCGAGCGGTGGATCACGGCCAGATCAGGAGTTATTTCTGGGCTCGGTCGTCTTGCTATTCCAGTTTTCCGTACTTTTTAAGTAAATACCTGCAGTGGGACTTAGATTCAGTATGGAAGTATTCGCTAAGAAGTTCGGTTGCGCGTAATATTTGTTGAGCAAATGTGTTTTTGAGATAATATTGTAAATAAAAGTAGGGTTAACACAATTGTAGGTTAGAATTCTCGGTATTGGGAAGTATAATTTAAATATATTTTGGCTTCAAATTAGTGTAATTACAAGTATCATTAGTAAAAAAGAATTTTGTGATATCTATATTGCAATTGGCGTGGGATAGTTTTATTGAATACTTTTTTTTTAGTGTAGTAATACTTTCAATTTTTGTTCTTGTTAGGTTAATTTGTGTTGTAAAATTGGAGCATGTTTTCGAATGTGACTCAATAAATATTATTATTATTATTATTATTATTATTATTATTATTAATGAAGTTTCATTCAAGATTTATTATGGGGAGAGACACCACGAGTAATTTCCAAAAGAAGCGATTATTTTGAAATGTCAGAACGAGCATTAAAATTTACTTTGTATTTGCTCATTAAGCTTTCGAGTAATTCTCTTACAACTGGAGAGAAATTGGGCGTAGTCTATGAATTCTTTCCAACGTCAGGTGAATCCATCACCGAACAAGAACACCACACAGACGGAACGAAATGAAATCAAAACAACTCGTTTCCTACAGCTGACCGCGAGAATACTCACAATGCATTGCAAAATTGTGTCCAACCGCGCATTTTCACGACTGCTCGTGAATCATGGGATCCGGATTAAGTTCGAAGTCTCAAAATACTGGTAAAACGCACAGGGATCAAGTCGGCGTACGAATTTGATCGTGGTTGGTGAAACCGGCCCTATTTAAAATTAAAATATTTTTATTTTACATCTATGGAACAAAATTAATTCGCATAATTACATGAAGCACTGCATAAAAGTTCCTATTTTGTTTATCTAGGTTTCACAATACCCACCCATCTTGCAAATAAATATGACCTCTCTATCTACTAGGGAATATCTCGCTCTAACTACCTTAAGGTGTATGCAGATCGACATCACGAAATATCTCGGTGTCTTCATGTGCATGCATTAACTTATGCCTCGTTGCAATTTGAATTAAATTTTTTTAACCCGTCTCTAGTTTGATTTTAAGCTTTCTTTGAAGGAAGCCATCACAATACAACGCAAATTGTTATATTCTATTTAAAAGTACTTTGATCTTTAGTATCCATTCAACCGACGTCTGTCAACATCAGGAGAAGACTTTATTAAGCACAGTATTTTACTGGTTCTGTCGAGTCAAAAAAGTTGCATCCATCGTTTCAGTATGATTTAAGGCTAAATGCACCGAAAAGTACTTGTAGGAAAATTCAATAGATCGCAGCACTATCACAGGGGAATTTACTTTACCGATAACGTCTGAACCAAAGGTCCGATTTTCGATCTATAAACGGCATTTGACGCCTTTTTAAAATAGAATTTACGCTACGATATCCTTTTTCCAAAAATCTAGCAAAATCTTGAATTTGAAATTAGTTCTCAAACTGAGAAAAAATTTAAAAATGTGGGCTTATAGCGCGATGGCGACATGCTTCCTGAATTCAACGCCGTGACAATCATGGCAAATCGGACGAAATAGGAGCGTCGTAAAGTGAAATTTACGAAAACACCTCGCACCCCCCCCTTCCCTTCTTCGCAGTTTGCGTCACCACCGATTGTGTGGCCCTCTGTCGGCGCGGGGGCACGAACCAGGCCAGGCGGCGTGCGACCAGCCCCGGCGGAAGGCTAAGGACTTACGGGCAATACGCAAGCCAGACAGTCGGTTTCGGCTTTCGTTCTCTTTGCATCTCAGTCCTATTTTTCCACAGATAGCAAATTAGAGATGCATACTACTGGACTGAGGTAAACGGTCTGTAATTAGTTGTACTAACTATATTTTCACATATTTCCTGTCTTCCTTCGAATAGCGAATCTTAAAATTGTTTGAGGCAATACTCAAAATATCGATTCGATTTTGGAACAAGTGTTTTTTTAAAAAATGAAACTAAATTTGTGTAAAATTAACCATATTCCATCTCCTCACAATCTGGATTTTAGATATATTTACTTCTTAAGGTTTTCCTGATTCAATTTCACCTATGTATGTTAGTTTTTGTTACCGTTCTGTCATTGGTAGCGTTATCTCTCATTTTTAAGAAAAATACAAATACCGAATCCAAAAGAATCATATCAAAAACAAAATCCCAAATCACAGTTTACGAGGTTCAATAATCTAGTAATTGATAGCAAGGTCAAGAAAATAAGCGAGCAATTATGGAAAAACGTAAAGCGCAAGTGAATACCACAGGAATACCAGGAACTAACCTGGGTCAGGTCGCTTTGATTTTTGCATGCGATACGAAAATTATATCTGACTGAGAATTCTGCAACTAACGATGAAAAGAAAGCAGCGGCACCTAGAGACTGATTTTTGTACCTACTTGTTCTAGCAGATCCCTGAAACGAAAGCAGCGGCACCTAGAGACTGATTTTTGTACCTACTTGTTCTAGCAGATCCCAATTCGGGACCAAAGAGTATATATAATTATGAATGTATATATAATTATTATATGTTCGGGACTAGTTTTTGACTAGTTTGCACTCGCGCATGCGCAGAGTGAGAGTACGTAAAACGGTCCGTGATTGTTTGCTGGAACAAACCTAACATGTTCTTTGTGTTGGAGCATACTGCTTCTTCTCCCCCCCCCCTCCAGTGATAATTGTGGTCATATGTGGCTGATACACAATGTTTTAGCTTCTAAAACAAATTGACTTTTTTGTAAAGAAAGTATATTCCACGTAGTTTTTATGCTTGAAACTTTTGTTTATACAGCTCAAGGAATTTTTCAGTTTCTGTTGAATTAACGGGTGTACTGAAATTACATCCAATAGAAACAGTGAGAGATAACCAATGTTTGTTATGTAAATTTGATACTTACTAAATTTTTAAGAATTGGTACAAGAACGTACAGAAGAAAATAAAGACTTGCCATTTATTTGTAACTAACACAAAAATGAGAAAAGTTTACTTGTAGCAGGCATATATTTGTATGCATTAAGAGCATGTTTATAATAATGGCATTTGACAGTTCTGAGAGTCGCATGTAGATCATCCAATAAGATAAGAATGGTTCAAAGCAACTTCGTTTCATTTGTCAGTGAAACTATTGCACATGAACTACGGGTGACATACCAAGCATAAATTACGTAATGCAAATTTCGAATATTTTGAATACCCCCATCTCTCCCCGTAATACACCCTGGAAATTACATAACATTTGTGACACCATCATTTACAATTAAAAGTAAAGTATACAACAGGGGGAAAAATTGTATTGATCAATTAAGTTAGAATTGATTGGCAACGATTATCTGCACCCAACAATATATGAGGACGTTTTTGAGTGAAGGAAGGACACGTCCGTGAAATATGTATATTTCAACTCTCCCCTCTTCAGTATTACATAAATTATGGACAGCCTTTTAACTTTTACAGATGAGACTGGGGAAATAGGTTAGTCCCGACATAAGATCATGTTGTAAAAATATGCGTAACAAATGTTCGATTTTCTTGCAGACACCTTCTCAAGGAGCATCATCTGTTGTTCATGCAGCCATCTCTGAGGAGTTGGAGGGGACTGGAGGTAATTATATAAGTAACTGTCATATTTCGAAGTTGAAATATCCTGCTACTGATGTGGAAGTGCAAGATAAGTTATGGATGATTATGCTTAGACTCGCTCGCATAGAAAAGTTTGGAGGGATTTAAATAATTTATTTTTATATAGTACACTTGCAAGCTTCTGTAAGAGGCCAGTATTCTTTCTTCAGTATTGCTGTGGACTTATGTTCTTCAAGGAAAGACTGATTTTAATTTATTTAATTTGTTATTTACCTTGGATGTATTTCTGTTATGTCATGATAGTTGTTTTAATACCTAGATGCAATGGGCATAAAAATGAATGTTTCTTAATAAACTTTTGGTGAAAAATTGTGTATATTAAAAAATTAAACAATTTACATCTGATTACAATATCATTTCAAAAAGAAAGAGTTAAATTCTCTGCCCTGTGCAAGTCCACTCACATACAATAAAATAGTTACTGTAGTATATTCAATATAAACAATAAAGAGGAAAGTACACAGAACTGAGGTACAAAGCATTAGTATCCCAACCTTTAGGATATGATACAACCCAACTTGAAGCCTAGGACAAAAACAATTTTAATGATAAAATAATTATCAAATCTATTTCTCGTCTCATTAAACCACACAATTGGTTGCAATAAATATTTAAGATGTTTAATAAATGTAAATAAATTCAATAAATCAGATCCACGATTTATTCTCCACAAAGTCAAAAAAGACGGGAAATTTTGATAGTGACTAGAATTAAACCTTTTGCAATTCACAAAAATATATTTTTGTGATTAGACACTGAACTAATATACTGATTATAATTATGTTGAATTGATTTTAAGACTCAAATGTTGGGGTAAAATCACAAAAGGTTGAGAAGTATTACTAAAAATTATTTGTTACAACACACACTGAAAATGATCATACTTAAATAATTAACTATCTTGCAAGAAAGAAGCTGCATCTAATATGTTTAAATAAGAAAAGAAAGATAAATGGTCAAACTACTTCATAAACAACACATCAGCATAAATAATATTACAGCATAACACCTTTAATTTGCTCTCAGAAGAAAATAAAAGGATGGTGGAATCCAAATTCAAGAAGTCTTGTTCAAATCATGTACCAGCCACACATAATTATGAAAAAAGTTATGTATAAATCTAAACAAACGATTTTCAACTAATTAACTGTATTCACAGCAAAAAACAAAACATTACTGGCATAGTAATGTCTTTTTTTTTTTAATTATAAAATTAAAAGCAGAATAACACTTATTTAGACCAGAATTCTAACATTGTGCCATTTTAGCAATCAAACAGTAGACCACTTTTTTGTTTGTTTGTTTTCATTTTTTTTCATACCTGGAGCACAACAGAAAAGGTAGCTACAACTTGGCACCATGCTTACCCATTAGTTGTGCAAATACATTATCTTTCAATTACCTGGCATTCAATAACTAAATGTTCCAGCATGTTAAAGTTTATTTGAAAATGCTATTTACAAAGCTTATTAAAACAGTTATTAAAAAGCTGGTATCTTAATGATACAAATATATAATAGTCCTAGTATCACAGAAAACAAAATTACATACAAAGAGACTATACAAATTATTTTCAGATGTACACATGCACTTATATGCAAATATCAAGGAAAAAAACTACAAAAAAATAAAAAAAATACAATCACAATAAATACTTGAGAATGCTGCAATAAACAAAATCTGAGGTCATTAAACTAATACACAATCTGTAAGGAACAGGTAACTATTTACTGCAGAATTCTTTCCACCTTATGAACACTTTTGAAACATTAAAGAAACCTCTTTTGCTACACAAAAACATGGAATGTTTGAAAACATTTTCTCTTTAAGAAAAATAATGTATTTTGTTATTTAAACAACAAATTGGCAAGATGATATTAACATCTCAAAATTCTACAATTATATTATTAATACAATAACGCTACTTCATTCGATTTCATGAAGTTGCTAATTCCAAACGTGAACCTCAGTCAACTCGTGACCAATCTGCTTGAAGCCCTGGCTAAGCCAGTTTGTCATAACTGCATTTCCTATTAACTTAATCTCACCTACACCTAAATATCTTAAGATAAATCACATATTAAAAATAATATCTATAAAGAACAGAGTAAAATGTTATTGCACATTATTCTTATACACAATGCAGCACATTAAAGACCACACATCTGCCAGTCTCAGGTGAATTACAGATAAATAGCAAGTGCATCCAATAGATTATTTTACAATATACACAGCAATACACATCCCTCTCCAATATACAGGTCAGGTATTAAAAAGTCATTTTGAAACATACACATCAAAAGGAACAAGAAAAATAGCCTTTTTTAGTTTTGAAACTTGTTTCATTCTATATTGTCTAGTGAGAATAAGTTAAATGGTGTAAGATATGTAAAAAGAATCCTTCAAAGATCTTCTACCAGAAACAACAGTTTTCTGCAAATCACAAAAAATACATGTTATAGCATGAATGACTAAAGCAACAGATTTCCAGCATTTAATGTAACACAAACCATCGTTTTTTTAAAACAAAATGTTTACCCATTAGTTTTGTACAATTTCCTTTTCTTTTAAATTTTAATTCAATTAAGAAACTGAGTATTTATATTCAATCACATCATAACTTGATATGACAGATCCAGTAAGCACAATTTTAACATGCTTTAGTGAAGATTGAACTCTCCTAAACTTAATCTTTCAAAAAACATCTTTGCGAAAAGATACTGCTACAGAACATGATAAAAAGTCAAGGTTTATATGTTTACTTAGTTGTTTCTAATTCTCCTCATAAGACAAGACAAAATTATAACTTCTACTGCTAGAAAAACCCTTAGTGCCAAAGAAATTGAACATGTACTTTGAATACAGAAAATTTCAAGTATCTCGAAAACAAGAAGGAGAGACAATTATTGAATGCAGGGAAACTTTCTGCAGTTGAGCAGTATTGCACATGGCAATTTACAGTCTTAAGATCCTCAATGTTTAAAATATTGGAGTGTTTTTCCATAAGGGCATACCTGCTGTTGGCAAATAAATAATTAACTTTTCAATTAACTGTTTCTCTGAAAAGCAAAACAAACTTCAGTCTCCGGTAATGACAAATTGTGTTTAGAGCAAGACATGACCAAAACAAAAATTGGAAAGTTTCTTGATACAGATTTTTAAACTACAGGTCTAAAAATTTCTCTAACCCTTAGATCAAATTTTTGGTTTATAAAGTTAGTTGCTTCAAAATTGGTTAACACAATAAGCTACATATTACAATATATATAAAAAGTTAAATGTTGAAAAATGTAAGAAAAATGATTCATTATAGAGTCTGTAAATTAGGATGAGAACATTGAGTACTACCATTAAATCATAAAGGACTTCAAAATACGAAAGAAATGTTCAACCTGAATGTTGAAATGAAAAATGTATTTCAATAAAACATTTTAGAACTAATGAATAATTACAAATAAGTGGGAAGGAGTGAAAACAGAATTGTATAATGAAAAATAATTGAAAAGATCTCCCACTTTCCTTTCTACAAATTTCTCAGAAGCAACACATCAAGCAAGTGGTAGCAAGGGCAGTTGCAAAGGCAGCTTTCTGGAGTCAGTGTTCCAACCTCAGTTTAACATCGAAGTCGACTCCAGGGATTATGTAAAGCACAGGTAATAAAGTACTTCCAAAAGACAACTTCATTTTGACATGTGGAACATTGGAATGTCAGTGACTGATGAGTGACTATTGACCCTCTTACAAGTTTCTGCTGTGTGTATACATGTTAATTTGAGGTAGGCAACACACATCCTTCCATATTGTGTAATGAACTTTGAAACAAACTTTGAAGTGTTTTTCACTTCATATTTAGTGGATAAAATTAACTTTTTCCTTTATGTATAATTGAAAATCATGAGAGCACTATCCCATCCTCTCCAAATCACAAGACAAGCGACATGATATTTAACAATTATTTGACTGAAGCAGGTAGTGGTATGTATTATGAGGAACATGAAACAAGCTTCAACACTTCACATCAAATAACTAAAACTAAAAATTCACAAAACATATTTGAATATCTTACAAAGCATTACCATATCTTAAATTTATAACAGATGTTGCACATTCACAAAAATTTCTCAAAAATAAGAGAAAAGAAAAGAAAAAGAAAGGAACTAGGATATCAAATCCTATACATTGCAAAAACATTTCTGCTGAGGCTTGGATATTAGAAACGAAGTTGGATTCGAATGTTTTTTCAACCCAATTTCAATTGCATTAAGCCTAATCTATAAAATGTATTGTTGCACGAAATAAATAAATATAAATGGGATTTTACTTGTAAATACAGCAACCAGCTTTTATTTCAGCAGAAAAGTTTATCACATTTTTATTTTCAATGAAAATGAAGAGACTTGTTGACATTTAAAATTACAATCCATTCATATCTGTTCAGAACAAATTAATAAGCAAAGAATGTTAAGCAAGATTTCAAATGTTTACTTCTTTGAGTATGTATCTGTCCTAAGTAAAATGATGGACACTTCTAATACAAGAGGGCGTTAATTCTTGTATTTATACATCTACTAATGTAGTAGTACAATCAATAGGTTTGCAGAACTTACATAGAAACTGCAATGCAATACAAATTTCTTTGTTCAATCAGTTGCTGAAGCCACAATCCAGAGAAACAGCAAACCAATTCCTTGCATTACTCAATGCTATTCCAAAGCTGAGCCCTGGAAGTCTACAAAATACCATTAGTAAAGTAAAGATACTTCTTCACTCCCAGCCCAACATCATAAATAAATGCACTTATATGGGTTACGACATCCGGCTACAGCAGTTGCTATCTCCTATAACTGTTGTTCGTCCATTAATGGTAGGTGAATTATTTTCATATCTAGGAAGCTCCTTACTTCTTGCTTGCTAAAAAGTAAAAGCCAATCTTAAGGCTAATTTCTAAGTTGAAAAAAGGCAGATTTCATATAATTTAAAATGTTCTTGTTCTATGAAGTAAATTGACTTTAAAACATACCTCCATCAATTCTGCAGCAATTTCCATAAATAACTTCTCAACATTCTCTGCTTCTTTCGCTGAGGTTTCCAAATAGTACATACTATGTCTCTGGGCAAAATCTTCCCCAACATGTGTAGGAATCTCTCTGTCTTCTCGATCGATTTTATTTCCTGATAACGTACAAGATTTCATTGTTGAATATGGTCTCTTCATATTTACATTATAAATACTACTAGCAGATGCAACCTACCAACAAGTACCCTAAGAACTTTATTACTTGCATATTCTTCAATTTCTCGCAGCCAATCTGGTAAGCAATCAAAGGTAGGTTGACAACTAATGTCATAAACTAATATCAATGCATGAGCTGACCGGTAATAACTTTGGGTGATGGAACGAAATCTTTCTTGACCTGCTGTATCCCAAATCTGCAACTTCAGAAAAAATAAGCGTAATTAACAAGAAATGGGAGATTGTGTAACTAATAATTAGTACTTGTTCAATACTTACTTTAACCTTTTCATTGTCTATTTCCACAGTTTTTATCATAAAATCCACACCAATAGTAGCACCTTGCCCAGGTGGAAAAAGGCCCTGAAAATTCACAACAATGACAATTCGAGTGTCGCCTTTAGAAAAGAGAAATGTAAAACGTCAATTTGTTTACCTGCGTAAAACGACGAACTAAACATGTTTTTCCTACACCTGCATTTCCAACAAGGACAACTTTGAAAAGGAACTTGTAATCTTCCATCGGTTGATACTGGTAATTATCTGTAATGTTTTAGTTACTTAGTAATTGACACTGAAACATCATCAAAAGATTTCAATGACAGTGAAAGGTAGGATGAATCAGAGCGTATCACCTTGAAGAAGATAGCTACATTAACTATAATAACATAGTAATCTTGTTTATGACAGTCAATCTTTCACGACAAACAAAACAAAACGAACGCCAATTATGGATGCATTTAAGGCTATTTATATCATTAAAATATTTTCCACATTCCCAAATATTGAGATTAACCTTGCTCACATAGTGTCCTCTGGCGGTAATTTCAAGAAACTACATTGAGAAGATGATGCTTTGATCATTGCGCAGTCCCGTTTACAAGGAGAACGCTATTGGCTAGTTTTCTGTTCTGTTAGCGAGTCATCAAGAATTCTGACCAATCACACAATTTCTTACTACTCATTTCGGATGTGTTGCTACGTGGGGAGCCATTTTGAGAAATTCTAAGAAGTTGGTGAAATGAGTTGAGTGTAATACGTGTCTTCGCATTTTATTATAGGTTTATCGTCGGGTGTTGAAAATAACCCTCAATTGGCATGGATAGCTCACAAGTGAGGTAAAGATTTGTGATAATGTTTATCAGTAGAAATTCTACTTTTTCTGAATTGTTAGCTTAACTTATGGTGAATATCCGTTGCTCGACTTTTCCTTGTATGTTGTCATTCTTTCCGTTTTCAGTTGACGTTTTTGGTTTAATATTTTGGGTGCCAGAGACCAAAGGAAGCCGTGAAGATGTCTGCGTCCGACGTAGTAGCAGAGGAGTACGCATCCTCGTTGTCTGATCTAGTCGCAAACAGCAAACCCCTTATCAACATGCTTACTATGCTCGCCGAAGAGAATATTGATCATGCTCCTGCAATCGTCCAGGCCGTGGAAAGACATCTTCAACAGGTTAACCTTTAAGTTATAATGAGAAGATACATTTCCAAACGCACTCCAGCCGAAGGGTGTGCTCTAGCTCATGGTATTGCATTGCTCATTTCATTTCACTTGAAGTTTTTGCTGTTCTCATTTTAATATTTTGGCAATTTTCTGACTTCTAAATAAGTTTCTAACCATATTATTGGATGACAATGCTAGAGCATTAGATAGGAGAAAAATTGAACCATTTGCAGAATGTTATCCATGACACTTACTTTTCTGATTGGCATTATTGTCGTAAATTTTGTATTCTTTTAACTCCCTTTTGTATATAATTAGTACTACATTCAGAGCCAACTTTCTGGAATTAGCTAGATCAAAATTGTTTTTTAGGTAACTGACATATGGTAAACTGGCAGATTTCTTTCATAATTAGCATTACGAGCACAATATTATATTAATTTGCTGTAGTGATTGTTTTTGTGTGCTAAATATTTTGTTGTGACCAATTTTTTTTAAAGACTAAAGAAATTATCATAGAGTACATGAATTTGGAAACTTTTTTGCTACCTTTGACTTTTTGATGGTCTTTCTCTGTGTCTAGAATATAGAAATACTATTTTGGTTATTCCAAGTTTCCATATGAGCCTGTTGTTATCTTGAGTGATGTAGCTTTATTCCAAAGTATTATTTCCATCATTGTAAGGCACTTAAAGAGAGTTCATTGTGGCTGGGCCAGGACGGTATCGTGTATCAGTGTTGCTTGATTTTATCTACTAAAAAAATTAAGTTCATTCTGCTAATCTATTTTATTCCATTAATCTAAGAGTTCCGTATTTTAATTTTGCATGTTGCCACTTTACACTTTCCTGACTGCCCCTCTGGGTTGTGCTTAATCCCAGCCAACAATTTTTTTACTATTTTTACTAAAATAGGGCTTTAAAGATATTATAACAGAATTCTAAGGTTATTTGAAGTAACGTTTCTGCTTAACAATGACATATTTCATTAATAGACAGGGTTCCTCTATCATTTATGAAATTGTTTGAAATGCATTTTTCTAGGGGAGAAAAATCAAAGATTGCAAATGCTCTTATAAGGCCATAATTGTAATAGAAATGTTGTTTTTTACATTACTTTATTGACATGAATAGTAATACAGTTGTATTACATACCTTGGCACTATGTTTAGACTGCATAATCTTGCAAATTCATGTCTGCCATTGTAAATTGCAGCTCTCTGCTGTTTCAGGTGCAAATATAAAATGTAAACAAATATAATCTAATGGTAGGTTCTGCGGCCGTGTGGATTGTACTCTAAATATTTGAAAAAATTTCTGCTGTATGACAAATTGTTCTTTGAAACCTCCCAGTTTCCATAACAGGCCCAGAATTGTGCGCTTTCCCGAGCAGTGCTCAGGTGTAGTCTGAAAAGTGTTAAAGCAAGACCTTTATTATTGATCGTATTCAGTATTATGATGGTAAAAGATATTGAGCACTCTAAAGATCAATCTGTGTAAATGGCTTATATGCATTGATATTGTGGTTGAAACAATACTTATCTTGGTCAGTCTGGTTTAAATTGCTATTTTTAAACTGTGGATTTCTGACGTAAGTATATGAAGGTAGGGGTGGCCCATGGCGTAGTAGTCAGATTGCATGTCTTCCATTGCTGGTGCTTGGATTTGATACCAGACTGTACCAGAATGGAATTAGTGGTGAAGGCGGTTCTTGGCAGGTTTTCTTGGGGTGCTCCCACTTCCCCTGGCAATGTGCTTTCCCACCAGTCCTCCACAATCATTCTATTCCCTATCTTATCATTAACCATAATTCAACCAAGGTCACAGCAGCATTTAAACAATAACCAAGGAACTAGCTGAGAAGGGTTTCAACAGGTTTTCAATAAGTAGGTTCCTGACGTCTTGAATTAGAGGGATTCAATAAGCAGGGCCCCGACATCTAGAACAACAACAACAAAAAACTCAGAATCGGCACAATTCCATCTCTTTTTTTTTCTGCCATGAAACTTGTCCACGATGCCCATCCGGTAAAACAAGACTTTGAAGTTGGATATCGGTAATCTTTGGGTGATTATTTTTGTGGTAGCTGTTGAGATACTTAGGAAATAAATATTAGTGTTAAATAATATTGTTTGGCTGGTTCTGGTGTAAGGATTTTGTTAGTTTCCTTTTCCTTGGCTATTAGGTATGTACTTCTTCAGGACTTCTAAGATTCAATGATGCATTGTTATATTGGTGATCTGTTGGTCCTTTATTGATTTAATAAATTAATTTGAAAATCTTTGAAATTACATTTCTGCACAAATTGTAATATATAGTTTAATTAGTATTGATTATGGTAGTCTGTTGTTTTAAGACATCCAAATTTGTGAAGTGATTGCCACAACAGTTTAATGAAGTTATTTTACTTTGAAGTAGTTGAATTGGCTGAAAAGAGTCTTTTTTTCAAATTTGAAAAGGGAATGTGAAGTAAATTCTGGAATCTCAATCTGAAATGTTGATGCAAGCGTCTCAAATGCTTATATCTGAAGAGGAAATGTAAAGGTAGCTTCTAGTATTTTCAAGATTTGATGTTTGAGGAACTAAGAGATGGAGTTGCTGTGATCATGATTTTGGAGAAAGAATTTAAAGGCTACTTTCTTCTGAAATTCTAGTTGTGTAGACTAGAATCCGCTTCCCAAGAGTGCTCTCTTAACTAGAGTTAACTCTTACATCACTCAAAAATGTTTTTGCTAAGCTTTTTGAGACAAACGCATAGGGATTGTAATATCTCATTTTTTGTTTAAATTGGGGTAATTAATTTCTTATTGCTCTCTATATGCCTCTTAAGTTTATAAAACTAGTCAATTTGTTAAATAGTTTTTTGAAAAATTCTAGCCAGTGGAAGAAGATATTAAATGTTCACCAAAATGTTTAATCACTTGAAGGGGAATATGTCCTAATAATGATTTTACCAGAGTAATTGTAATTTTGGTGAAAAGACCAGGGTTGTGACCGTGACATGTGTTCATTTTATCTTGTTATAATTTTAATAATCACAAGACAATCACTTACACAATAGTCAAACTGTTTCTATTAATTCATTTGTTGACATTAGTTCTCTCAAAACCTGATAATGATTTTTAGTTTTTACTTTTTTTTGTACCAAACTTGGTTAAATGTCCTTATTTGTGAGTAGTAGCCTTAGCAAGAATATTTTGAGATGTTCCATCAATTGTTGTAGAACCAATCAGCATAAAAAGGGAGTAAATTGTTTTCCTGTACAAGAATATTTGTTCTAGGAGCAAAGGTTTCAAGTGAAATGTTATGATTTCAAAGCAGGGACATGTGATTTGCAAGACTTGTTATTGATTTGAAATTTTAATGCATGTTGTATGTTCAACTACAGGTTGATTAGCCTTGTCCCTACTTTGGAAGAGTATGACCTAATTGAATTTGCTAGTTCTAATTAAAACATCAATGGAAGTTCACAAACTGGTCATCGTATAGTAAATAAATTTTGTAAATATTAATCAAATGAGTTTTTATTCATGAAAACTCAAATTTGAATCATTTGTAATTAAATCCACATTTTGTGACATTCCATTAGCATTCAAATGCATAGGAACAAATCTAATTTATAATAAAATTATAATACAGATTTTTGATGCAGCTAATTTATTTTTGTATAATAAAAATTGATCTCACCATGTTAATACTTTTTAATATCATGTAAAAGTTAATTGTTTAATGTTGAAATATAAAATGAAAAAAATGTAAATGTGTCTCATTAAGTGTTTAATAATGAGCTTATCCTTCATAACAGTTTAGGAAGTACTTTTTTAATTTGGAAATAACCTTGTAACAACTGTGCATAGAAATCCTCAACTATATCTTCATTAGTGTTTCAGCTTCTACACATAGTATTTCTGTGATTAACTGCACTGTGTAGTTGCATACTATTGTTGAGGTCAATAAATCTTACACAAGAGATAGATGATCTTTTATATTTCCTAAGAAACATTTTTTCTTTTCTTTTTTGGTCCTTTTTTGTGACCTTTTGGTAATTTGTTTACAATAAATTTTTTAAAATAAATGAGTTGCTTGTTTTCCTGGACTTTTGACCACAATCATAATACTAGATATCTCATCATTAGCATTTCTCGCATAGGGTCCTGTTCCTCACATGTCCAGTTCCTTTCACAGCTCCCTGTCATGTACATAGATATTCGTTATTCTAACCGCCAAACATGTGATGAGATATCTTGTGTGGTTTTCCAGGTTTCAATTTTAATGGCACCAACAGAATTTGAGTATAGGGAATTACCCTTATTTAAAAATTAATGAGTTTGAATAGGCATACAATGTGATAGTTGATGTGATTGTATCCAAAGCAAAACACATATGTGTCAGTTTAGAAAGTATCTTAAACAGAATGTGCATAATTGTAACTGAAAACACTTTTTGGAAAGACATCAATTTTAATACATTTTTCTAATTCCTACTTATTCAGTTATTTTGTTAGCAAGAGTTGGTTGTTATTAAAAGTAAATTTTTTACGCAATTGAACACACTTTTAAAACGTCAGTACAAATTCATTTTAACCATTTAAAGAAATACCAGGCCTTGTGCATTAGAATTTTCAAGGGGTTCAAATACTGTATTTTTGTTCAGTTATAAGTATTGCATATGAGAATTAACTAGTTAGGACAGTCAAATGCCAAGTTTTAAATACTAGCCTGATCTGTAAGACATTTTAAGTATGGAATGAATGGTCAGAACACATACGCTTTAATTTAATGAAAACATTATTAAGCTGACATAAACATATATGTTTAATTTTTAACATCTGGCAGCAGAAACCACTAAGTTGACAACTTTTAAAACACACCATAAAACAAAATATGTTGTACGAAAATATCAAATTTGCATTTTTTTCCTCAAAGTGAACAATGGTACAGTTAATAACCCCCAATGTAACAAAATGGGTTGTAGTTGCCTTGCCTCTTAAATACTTTTAGAAATTCTTGCTTGCAGAATTGCTTATTGCAATTACCCTCATGATCGATGGGCTCTCATTACCTTTGACAAAATGTTTGTTAAAAGCATATAGTTAGGAAAGAAAATTGCGTTGAAATATTGGATGTAATTGGTTCCTTCAAGCAATATTTTAAGAGAAATTGGGGAGGGGGAGTGACTGAATACGAACACATATCATTCTGGAAATGTCAGTGTTAAATATTTAGAAGCACCTTCAGTTTTGATTGGAATGGATGTGGAAAACCCCAAAACCCAAAGAGTTGATAAGAAGAGGAGCAAGGAAGTCATGTGGCCACGAAAGATTCCCTTAGCATCTCTGTCATTCCTTTAGGTCCGGAGTGACATAAAGCTGCCTGTTTTATACCTCATTGACTCCATTGTGAAGAATGTGCGTCAAGCGTATACTGGTCTCTTCACTCAGAACATTGTTTCCACGTTCTGCAGTGTTTTTGAAAAGGTAAATATACAACATGTGTTTTAAAGAAATTTGAAATGAGTTTTCTTTGGCTCATTATCATGTAATGAAATGTAGTATGCTTATGTTTCTTGTTTGTGAACAATGTTAAAACAGGTATGATAGATAATAGAAAGATATGGTGAGAAGGATTTGAGACAGTATACGAAACATAACTGTTTTTTCAGGTTGATGAAAAGACACGTGCACAAATGTTTAAGCTTCGTCAAACTTGGAATGATGTATTTCCTACAAAAAAATTATATGCTATGGATGTTAGAGTTAGTTCTATTGATCCAGCATGGCCTATTACTGCTCCAGTTCCTACAAGTATCCACATTAATCCCAAGTTCTTTCCAAAGGTGTGTACATTCCTCTTAAAATTGATATATAATAAATTAATTGCAATGTGTGTTTTACAGTAGGCTGCCAATATTCTTTTCTTATTAAAATTTTCAGCAAGGGAATTCTCCAGCCCCTATAGTCAGTCCCCTGCAGAGCAGTGCAAGTTCAGCTCTACTCACTGCTCCAGCTACTAGTGTGAATGTGCCAGAAGATCCTCAAGCTTTTGCTGAATCAAAAATGCGTGAACAACTTCTAAAGAAACAGAAGAAACTTTTGGAACTGCAGCAGAAAAAGTTGGAAATTGAGCTACTGCAGACCAAAGCAAAACTTGAAGAACAACAGAAGCAATTGGAAAGGCAGACAGACCACCTTCATGTTCAGGTGAGCTTTGTGGGGAAATGTTACCCAGTAGTTGTGAGGTAGTAGAGTTCATGTTTGGTGATGCATTATTATGTGACATTGACAGTTTTCACAATTGCCTTTTTTTTAAAAAATTGGGTATTTGTTTTTGCCATTAAAATTTGTATTGATCAAAAATTGAATATTTATTTAAGTTAGGTTGTTAAGGAACAAAGATAATGTTATTGCTTACTCCTTGTTTGCGTCCAGTTATTACACTCTTTTCTTGTTGGTGCCTAGTGAAATCAAAGCATTCAGGCTAAAGCTGGTGGTGGTTATGTTGGGGGAATGGCACTTCCTTTACTCATTTAGCAGTTGCTGTGTCTCATTCTCCAGAACCCAAGGAGCTTGTGCCTGGAAGAAGTACTCCTCTTCCTTAGGGATATGAATTGACCTGCATGAGTGGTCAGTTACATACAATTATATTAAAGTAATAATTCTGTGGATTGAGCAGCTAAATATTCAATTTTTTTTCTGGCCAAGCTTTTGTCATTTTTAAGAATAAATATTGTATGTGTTGGAAGCCTTACCATTGAATTGAACTTTTTTCTTTGGTTTCAATAAATACATTGTAGTAACGATAAACAATTTGGAGGTTGGTTGCATCTACAAATGGGCAACCTCCCTCACCCATTGACTGTTTATTAGTAGAGACAGAACTGAAACCTTTCAACTTTCTTGTATATGGAGTAATGTACATAGTAAAGAGAAAGTTATGTATTACTGCGGCAAAAAACAGCGATTTTTTAACACAAACCTTGAATGGTGTGGTCTGACACAGTTAAGTCAGAAAAACTTGTTCTAATGTATAGAAAATTAGTCCTTCTAATACGTAAAGAAACGGGTTGGTTAAATTACATCAGCTTCCTTGCAGGTGTCTTTAAATTTTTCTTTGTAAAGTCTTCTTCTTAGAAGCCCATTGTACCTACTCAACAAGGGATTCCTAAAAGCATTTCATTTCTTCAGTGACATTACCCAATTTTAACTTTTTTCTAGCAGCATTCCTGTTTGATTATTCTACTAACAATTCTATTCCTTGATGAAAAAAAAAGCCTAAAAATATTTGAATTAGGAATTCTTCATTAAAATTCTTTTGAATTCTGGCCACTCCTTCCAATTGATATATATTTTTTTTAATTTGCCTTTGTTCCATTTAAAAATTTTATTCTGAGATACACTGATAGGTTTTTTTGAGAATTTGCACTTACATTCATTGCAAGACAGAATGAAGAATCATTTTTTGTGCAGTGTCTTTATACCTCTGTTCATTGCATCATTATTTACATTGAATAGCTCTGCTGCAGCATTCAGCTGCGATCCCGGAAGACCATTGGGTGAAACAATGTTGTCTCCAGAGTCCTCATCTGTCATCACTGGTAGTGTTCACAAGGGTCATTATTGCAATGTCCCCTGTGTGTAGTAATTTGTCATTATTATCACCATCCTCCTCTTAAAGTGTTGAGAGGAGTTGGGCAAAAGAAAAATCTCTGGAAAAATTGCTGCATAATCAGCGAAATAAAGTAACTACATCAATGTAAGCGCAATGTACTCTTAAATGCTTACTGTCCTTATAAAAGAACTAATTTTGCAAAATAATTTAGTGTATTTGTATTGTAGTATTACACATTGCACATGTAGAAGTAAATACATGCAGTTCTGGCATAACAATAAAGTTGATTAAGCAATTAACATAGATAATAATAATAATAATAATAATAATAATAATAATAATAATAATAATAATAATAATAATAATAATAATAATAATAATAATAAATGATATTGCCCAACTTACCTGTCAAGTTTGCAATGCCACAAAAACGATGTGGTCTTCCAAGGAGCTTGAATTCGTCTTTCAAAATAAGATCCTGCAATGTCTCATAATGCATAGGATGGCGATAAGTATTGTTCTGTGACCCTTTCGCCGTCACAGAATTCACAGATTAAGCCTCACAGAAGGTCCATAATTATTCTGTAACAAAACAGAAGCGAGCATAGAATCTTTTTAGATGGAAAGAAGGCATACCTGGGTTAATCTATTAATTGATTTTAAAAAAAATTGATTAATCAGAATAAATAATATTCTTCTGGTAATAAAAGTCTACATTTTTTGGCATACGATCTATTCGAGGATAAAAATTAATGTGAAACAAAATACATTGTTCGGATTGACTTCTATATCCATTATTATCAGAGTATGTCCAAGCATTAAATATCACACGGTATCTTTCTAATTTTTCTCTGTGGCTTGTTATTGTTCTTTTTTTATTATTTTCCTTTTTTTTTCTTCTTCTTTTTCTTTTCCTTTTTTTCTTTTTCTTCTTTTTTGCTTTCCTTTCTCTTCTTTTTTCTTCTTCAAAATAAAATGTAGAAACAATGTTATGACATGCGTGAAAAGAACAATTCAATGATAAGTATTATAAAGTTTTCAATATTTTTTTTGTGCTTTTTTGCGACTAATGTTCAATGGAAATTTTTAATGTACTTCCGAACTTTGCAACCCACCTCCAGAGCTCCATCTGCGAACATGCTGAACATATTTCAAAATAAGTAACATTCCAAGTCTTCATAAAACAACAGTAATTGTATTCTGATTTCTGCCTTTAATATTCCTGGTGTGTGTTGTATTTAATACATTTTCCATGTTACAATACATGTATACATACTGTCTACATGAAATAGTGAAGTATCCATAGAAGGTGCCTGTCGTGAACTAAGCTAATTAAAAATATATAATATCTTTCTGGTGGACTAACATCTGTTTTCCTCACATCATTTCACAAATACATGATAGAAAAATAGAAAATAAAATATGACTAGAAAATAAGAGAATTAGAGAAAGAAGGGGGGAAAAAACTGTTACCGAAAAACAACAATCCGAAGTTATTTCCTTCACTTGATAAAACTGAGGCATCTCAGCAACTTTTCTTTTTTTCTGTACAATATTTAGTTTTAAAGTATCACTCAAATTATTGTAGGCTTTTACACACTCTATATTATGTCGACTATTAAACTTTTTTTTAGTTTTCATTGGTGTAATGTTCATCTTTTTCCTAGTTGAAGTAAGTTAGAGAACTTAAATTTTTCATCCATTCATAATTGTAATACAAAATCGTTAGTCTGACAATTTTTTTTCATTAATAAATTCTCGGATAGGTACTGAGTATTTTTCTTAAATATAATTTTTACAATTTTATTACAAACATTCTTCATTGATACATTTTTGTGATGGGTGCCTTCAACACGTTCACTGCGAAGCGCATTCTCACTAAACTTTCGGTAGGTTTTTTGCACGCTATGTCTCGGTGCAAATTGTAATTTATGTACTTCATACATACTAGAACATTCAGAAATAGAATATTCATATATTCTATAAAACTAATTTTATTTACAAAAATACATAAGGCCATATGGACTTACAGCTGTTAATACTTGAGACCAGTTTACCCACAAGACCATACAGTCTCGTGCTAAAAAAAATGAATGTCCCAACGAGACCAAATAGTCTTGCATGGCAACCAGCCTGCCATTGCAATTTGCATAGTTTCAACATTTTCTTTGAAAACATCTTATTTGTTTTCCTAAAAGTGCAAGTGCTCAGCACTGTATTTGCAGCTGTGCTGAGAATAGAGAGATACTATTGTAATGATGTGCCAAACAGCAATTGTGTGTCCCAGATACTGAAAAAGTGAATAAATCTTGTTCCTAAGAGAAATAAATTCCTTATACGAAACACATCTTGTAGTCTAAATCCCGTTTTATGAGCCCTTGTTTACAATAAATTGGTTTACGGCACAACTTTGCACAACTAGCGGGTAAACAGTAGGATTTTTACCGAAATTGATACTGCCCCACGGTGAATGGTTCAACCCCTTCAATTTGAAATGGATAATTGGTCTGTGAGGATATTTTACACGTAGGCGTAACATTTTTTAAAATTCGAGAAAGCAAACTTTTTGTTTACATTCTTACGTGCTGCAGAACCTGATGGAATCGAAAGACATGGAACACAGTTTCTTCCTACTTTGACGGAAATCTATATACGGTCACTAGATGTGGGGAAGCTCCCGCAACAATGAAAGTCAGCTGTTGAAACCCCAATTTTTAATAAGAGAACAAACAACTGCCCAGTAACTATCGTCCTGTCAATCATACCAGCACAGTGGGTAAGATAATGGGAGGGCTTATTGTGCTGCTTAACCATACAATGATCGTGAAGTAAATACTATAAATATTATCAAGAAATTTGGATGCAAGTGGGACATTGTGGGGTTTGTAATTTAATCTACTTTTTCGTTCATTTTTTAAATAAACTTTATTTACTGGAAAAAAATAAACATGATATTTTAATTAAATACATGCCTCGTGTAACACGTTTCATTTTAAAATTTGAAGACAGACATTTAATTCAGACTTTTCTAAAAATTTATGGGGATCCTTTCATCGTATCCTCCATTCATAATCTTAAACGTTTTGATTAGATATTTTAGTGGTCTTCTCTGCTCTAGAGCAGGAAGTTCGAGTGCCCAACATCTCTCCTCATACGATCTCTCCGTAGATCGATAGCGGACTTCGTCATTCGTCTCTGCTTCTTCTCCGAGGTCTCAGTCTTTTTTTGTAGTAAGGGAACCATACTGAACTGGCATATTCAAAAATTGTGCGAATATATGTCACGTACAGTTTCTTCATCTCTGTCGACTTATTTCTTAGGAACACACTCATCAGGTGCAGTGTGTTTGCTTCTCTTGACAACTGCTGTAACCTGTCTGTCCCATTTGATATCTAGGGTTACAACCATGCCTAGGTCAACCTGCACGGTCACTGGTTGTATGGTACGTCCGCCGATCTGGTATATGGTTCTGGGGTTGTTTTTCCTCAAAAGAACGGTGCATTTGTTACTATTCAATGATAGTAACCGCAAATCAGACCGCTCTATCCTTTGCATATCTCCTTCAAGGTCCACTTGCTGCAATATCGGGTTTCCATTCAACTTAATATAATCAGCGTAACTATTCCACTTTGATATGAAGCCTTCCCAGATCAGCCGTGTACAAAAGAAACAAGATGGGTCCCAGAACAGTTCCCTGAGGGATTACCCTTGTAACAGGTCTCTGCCAAGAGAGGGTGCTTCCTTGACAAACTTGAAAAATTTTGTCCGTAAGAAATCTTCAATCCAGCAAGTAATTTTCCGCTTATCTCTGTAACCCACAGCTGTATTGCAAAGGCGTAGTCCGGTAGGCTACTTTGGGTAAAAATGAAGAAAAAAATAGTTTTTACTATGAAATGCCAAATTTAATATTCCCCATTGTCGAGGCATCTCATACTATTTAGTATCAGTTTAGCGTTTTTCTCGTACACTTTTACTTTCTCGCACTTGCTAAATCTAAATGGTACTACCGTAAGAAGAGAAATCTACTATGGTAAGAAGAGAAAGTATTGTAATTGTGCACGGCAAAACTACGAATTACCAACACAAAAAAATCTTTTTTCTGGGTCCTGGGAAGGAAAAAATGGATAAATCTAGTTGCTTTATATTGAAAAATATCCTCTAACATGTATAGCTAGAATCTGCGACCTTCGTACCGAAAAATCGTTTGACGGCAAAACATGTCTACCCGTCTGTGCACAACGCTAGCGCATAAACCATACATTCGATTTTCTTCAAAATTGATATTCCCCAATCGTTCTACCTAATGTCACAGACTCTGGAATTTGAAACCGATATTTTAATTTTGGGGGTTACTTTACATGAAGCCCCTGGGACAATCAAAAGAAGCTCCAAATTTTTTGATTAAATTTTGTTGAGTTGTGCAAAGAACTTCAAAGAGAATGGTGGGGGCTCTTTTCGTTGGCATTACCTATTTTTCGAAAACTAGGAAAAAATTGACAATTTCAAAACTAGAGAGAGATTTTTGGCTCAGTCTGTTGTACAAAATTAGCTCTTCAAAAAAAGGTCATGTGCAATTTTTTGAAAAACTAGTAGTTTTGCGATTTACATGGAAATTTTTGTCACTTATGTAATAAAAGACTATAAAAAATATGGTAATAGTCATATTTTCGAAACTTTTCGATAAAAACTGTTCTTAACTACAAAATTGAAGATATTTGTGCGTCAGACGAAGTCTGTTGTATAAAAATTAACTCTTAAAAAAAATTATGTATAATTTTTTGAAGAAAAAACAAACACAAACAAAACTGTAGTTTTGCGTAATTTGTGCTTGAATTTAATGAAATATATATACAGGTTTCACACCAACACTATCACGCCTTCTATTTATGGCAAAAATGGCTTTTAGGAAGAATTAATAAGAAAAGATGTGCCCGTCGCTACATACAGGCTTTGTTGGCAGTGTTTATCGATCGAGTTGTGTTGATATAGCCAGGAAAGTGGTATATTATTATTATTATTATTATTATTATTATTATTATTATTATT